CCCCTGCCTGGCCTGGAGCTTCCTCAAGTGAGTCACAGCCTGGGGAGGGGTCCTGTGCCACCCAGGGGGGGTCCTGTGCCACCCAGGGGGCCACCCTGGCACTGCCACTGCTGAGGGAGGGGACAGGGGGTGGCTTTTGGGGGGCTGGAGGGCTGGGGGTCATCCTGGCACTGCTGCCCCAAGGAAGGGGACAGAGTGTGGGATTTGGGGCCGGGGTCTTGTGCCACCTCTCAGGGGGTTCATCCTGGCACTGCCACCCCGAGGGAGGTGACAGAGAGTGACTTTTGGGGGGCTGGGGGCTTCTGAAACCCCTCAGGGGCTCATCCTGGCACTACCATCCTGAGGGAGGGGACAGAGAGTGACTTTTGAGGGCTGGAATCCCCTGCCACCACCCAGGGGCTCACCCTGGCACTGCCACCCCGAGGAAGGGGGCAGAGTGTGGGATTTGTGCCACCTCTCAGGAGGCTCACCCTGGCACTGCCACCCCGAGAGAGGTGACAAAGTGTGACTTTTGTGGGGCTGGGTTCATCCTCGCACTGCCACCGCCAGGGAGGTGACAAAGCGTGACTTTCGGGAGGTCTGGGATGCCCCCCTTTGCTGCCAACCCCCCGAATTCCGCGCTGAGCCCTCTCCCCCCCGTGCCAGGGCCGGCTTTGCCCGCCAAGGTGCCAAAGAGAAGCAGCTGCTGAAGGAGGGCAACGCCTTCAACGTCTCGTCCTTCGTGCTGCGTGCCACCATGAGCGGGCAGTACTGGCCCGAGGGGGACGAGCTGTACCACGCCGAGCTGGCCGTGCCCGTGCTGCTGGTGCACGGCATGCACGACAAGTTCGTGCCCATCGAGGAGGACCAGAGGATGGCAGAGGTACGGGGCTGGCACCCCCGGGAAGGGGGGTGGGGGATCTGCCCCCCCCCCAAAAAAATGGGGGGTGGCTGATGGGGACGTGGGGAGGGAGGGAGGGGGGAAATTGTCCAGTGATCTGAGGGATGGTGACAGGGTGGCACAGGGGTGGGCAGGGACACCTTGGCATGGGCAGGGACATGGCAGGGACATGGGCAGGGACACTGGCAGGGTGACACAGGGATGGGCAGGGACGCCTTGGCATGGGCAGGGACATGGGAGAGGGACACTTTGGCATTGAAATGGGACAAATTTCACTGTCCCAGGGTGCTGCAAGGGATGCTGCCAGGGATGGCACAGGGACATGGGACACCTTGGCATGGGCAGGGACACCCTGCTGTGCCCCAGGGCGCTCCAAGGGACGCTGCCAGGGAGGGGACAGAGTGGCTTTGGAGCGCCGGGGCAGGGCTGGAGCCCATCCTGGCACTGCCACTCGCCAGGGAGGGGACAGAGTGGCATTTGGGGGCTCGTGCCACCTCCGGGGGGTCTCACCGCGCCGCCGGCTGCCCGCAGATCCTGCTGATCGCCTTCCTGAAGGTGATCGACGAGGGCAGCCACATGGTGATGCTGGAGTGCCCGGACACGGTGAACACGCTGCTGCACGAGTTCGTCCTCTGGGAGCCCGACACGCCCGCGGCCCGCGGCGACGGCGACACCAAATGAGGGCCAGCGACACGCGGGGACAGCGGGCTGGCCGCTGCCGCGGGAGAGGCGGAGCGCGGAGCGGGCTCGGCCCGGCCGCCAGCCCGGTTTGGGCCCGGGGGCGAGCGAGGAGCGACCCCGGGCTGGGATGGCAGCGCCGGGAGAGGAGCCGGGAGTGCCCGGGGCCGGGGACAGCGGGGACACGGCACGGCCGGTCCCCGGACTGCACTGGGAGGGTTGGGGTCTGTGGGATTGGGAATGGGGGATTTGGGATGGGAACGGGGGCTGGGGGATTTGGGATTGGGAATGAGGGGTTGGGAATGGGAATGGGGGTTTGGGAATGGGGATTTGGGATTGGGAATGAGGGGTTGGGAATGGGAATGGGGGGGTTTGGGATTGGGAATTTGGGATTGGGTGTTTGGGGTTGGGAATTCAGGATTTGGGATTGGGAATGGGGGTTTCGGGTTGGGGGATTTGGGGTCGGGATGGTTTTGGGGTGACGCCCATCGCGGCGGTGACGTCACACTCAGGGGGCAGGGCCACGGCACTCAGCGCCCCCCAGTGGCCAGAACTGGCACTGCCCGGTGCCACCAGCGCCACCAAGTGCCACCAAGTGCCACCAGTGTCCCCAAACCGGCACTGCTCAGTGCCACCCAGTGTCCCCAAACCGGCACTGCCCGGTGCCACCAGTGCCATCAACTGGACCTCGATCCCCGTGACCTGGAGGTGACACCGGGCCAGGAGAGGTGACACAGGAGGGACACAGGGCCACAGAGGGGACCCCAGCCCCACCTCAGACCCCACAAAAGCCAAGACACCTCTGGTGTTTCCCCACCCGCGGCACACGGCCACCACCTCACCGTGTCCCCAACCCGCCCCGTGTCCCCAGGACCTCCGTCCCAGTGACACAGGGCCAGCAGAGGGGACACAGCAGAGGGGACACAGGAGGGGACACGGGAGGTGACACAGGAGCAGGAGAGGTGACACAGGAGAGGGGACACAGGAGAGGACACGGGAGGGGACACAGGGCCAGCAGAGGGGACACGGGAGGGGACACAGGGCCAGCAGAGGGGACACAGGAGGGGACACAGGAGGGGACACAGGGCCAGCAGAGGGGACACAGGAGAGGGGACACAGAACCAGGAGAGGTGACACAGGGCCAGCAGAGGGGACACAGGAGGTGACACAGGGCTGGGAGAGGTGACACAGGAGAGGGGACACAGGAGGGGACACGGGAGGGGACACAGGGCCGCAGGGGTGACCCCAGCCCCACAAAAGCAGCACGCCCCCCCCGATCAGCCCCCCCGATCGAATCCTGCCTTTAATTCCCACCCAAATTTTCCAATTTTCTCCAAGGAAAACTCTCCCCAAGCGATTTGGGGAATTTCTCTCCCAGATTTGGCCTTAAACACCCAAAATTTTGAGATTTCCTCGAATTTCAGATTCCAACCAATACGGAGCGGGTGGGCGTGGCCAGCTGATGAATATGTATGAGCCTATTGGGCGAGCCTATGAATATGTAAATTTTCCGGGAATAAAATCACCCAAATTTTGGAGAGGAGCTCTGAGAATTTCGCACATTTGGGAAGTTCGATAAATATTCTACTTTTAAAAATTGATTGAATTTTTCTTTAATTCTTTAAAGAGAAAAAGTTTCTTAAAGTTCGATTTTTCCTAAATTCTTTCATGTTTTTCTTTCCGTGCCTCAGTTTCCCCCCCCCTCGGGTGTGACACCCCCAAACCCCGGGGGGGACCCTCGGGAACCCCAAAACCCTGGCGTCTTCCTCCCTGCCCATCCCAAAAACACCCCAAAATATCCCAAAAACATCCCAAAAATATTTTTCAAAATCCAAAAAATACCCCCAAAACACCCCAAAAAATCCCAAAAATATCCCCAAAAATTTCCAAAAACATCCCAAAATATCCCAAAATCAGCTGCTCCACTTTTAGAACTTCTCCTTCATGTGACAGAATTTAAAAAAAAATAAAATAAAAAAGAGAAAAACACCAAATATTTACCAAAACTTCCAAGATTTTTAAGGGATTTTTTTTCCTTTTTTTTTTTTTTTTTTTTTTTTTTTTTTTTTTTTTTTTTTTTCCCCCCTTTTTTAAAGTTTTTTTTAAGGGATTTTCCTTTTTTTTTTTTCTTTTTTTTTTTTTTTTGTTTTTAAGGAATTTTTTAAGGGATTTTTCCCCCCTTTTTTAAAGTTTTTTTTAAGGGATTTTCCTTTTTTTTTTTTCTTTTTTTGTCTTTTTTTTTAAGTGATTTTTCTCCTTTCCCCCCCGCCCCCTTTTTTTTTTTAAAGGGTATTTTTCCCTTTTTTTTCCCCCCTTTTTTTTTTTTTAAAAGATTTTTCTCCTTTTTTTTTTTTTTTTTTTATTTTTTAAGGGTTTTTTTTAAAGGGATTTTTTTCCCTTTTTTTTTTTTTTTTAAGGGTTTTTTCTCTTTTTTTTTTTTTTTTTAAGGTTTTTTTAAGGGATTTTCCTTTTTTTTTTTTCTTTTTTTGTCTTTTTTTTTAAGTGATTTTTCTCCTTTCCCCCCCGCCCCCTTTTTTTTTTTAAAGGGTTTTTTTTCCCCTTATTTTTTTTTTTATTATTTCGAGGCGGATTTTCGCCATCTGGAGAATGAAAAGGCTCTGGCAGGGCCGGTGAAGTGTCAGCGAAAAGGCTTTAAAAATGTTGTTATTATTGTTATTTATGGGCTGGAGCCACGGAGAGGGAAAAGAAGCCAAAAAAAAAGTTCAAAAATAGCTGGAAAAAGCAAAATAAAAAGCGGGATGTTTTTTCCAGAAGCGGCTGAAAAACAAAATAAAATACCTTGGAAAAACACAAATGTGTTGGGGAATTTTTTTTGGGATTGGGGACTTTTGGGGTTGGGGATTTTGGGGATTTTTGGGATTTTGGGGATCGGGATTTTTGAGATTGGGGTTTTTGGGATTTTGGGGATTGGGGTTTTTGGGATCGGGGTTTTTGGGGTCAGGAATTTTTGGGATTGGGGATTTTTTGGGATCTGGGTTTTTGGGGATGGGAGTTTTGGGGATTGGAGATTTTTGGGATCGGTTTTTTTGGGGATCGGGGTTTTTTGGGTTAGGGATTTTTGGGATTTGGGTATTGGAGTTTTTTGGGGTCAGGGATTTTTGAGATTTTGGGGATTGGGAATTTTTGGGATTGGGGTTTTTGGGGATCAGGGATTTTTGGGGATCAGGGAATTTTGGCCTTGGGGATTTTGGGGGTTGGGGTTTTTTTGGGATTGGGGATTTTTGGGGATCAGGGATTTTTGGGGTCGGGGATTTTTGGGGATCAGGGATTTTGGGGATATTTGGGATTTTAGGGATTGGAGTTTTTGGGGTCAGGGATTTTTGAGGATCAGGAGATTTTGGGATTGGGGTTTTTGGGTTCGGGGGTTTTGGGATTGGAGTTTTTGGGATCAGGGGTTTTGGGACTGGGGGTTTTTTGGGATCAGGGATTTTTTGGGATCAGGGTTTTTCCCGGCTCCCGGCAGAGGGAAGGGCGGGAGCGCAGCGGCGCCTCTTGGCCAGACGGGCTGGAATTCCACAGCTGGAATTCCACAGCTGGATCGGCCGGAATGCTCCGGTTTGGGATTCTCACAGGTTCCAGTTTGGGGTCCCCAGGGATGCTCCAGGTCGGGATTCCCTGATTTGGGGTTCCCTGGAACAATCCAGTTCGGGATTCCCAGGGATTCCCAGATTTGGGGTCCCCAGGGATGCTCAGGTCCGGGGTTCCCTGATTTGGGGTTTCAGGAATGCTCCAATTTGGGATCCCCAGGGATTCCCTGATTCGGGGTCCCCGGGACGCTCAGTTTTGGGGTTCCCAGGGATGCTCCAGTTCGGGGTTCCCGGGAATTCTCTGATTTGGGGTTCCCTGGAATGATCCAGTTCAGAATCCCTAGGGATTCCCTGATTTGGGGTCCCCAGGGATGCTCTGGGTCCCCTGGGAATTCTCGAGTTTGGGGTCCCCAGGAAAACCTCGATTTGGGGTCCCCAGGGACGCTCAGTTTTGAGGTCCCCGGGGATTCCCTGATTTGGGGTTCCCAGGAATTCTCTGATTTGGGGTTCCCTGGAATGATCCAATCCATAATCCCCAGGGATTCCCTGATTCGGGGTCCCCGGGATGCTCAGTTTTGGGGTCCCCGGGGATGCACCAGTTCGGCATTCCCAGGAATTCTCTGATTTGGGGTTCCCTGGAATGATCCAATCCATAATCCCCAGGGATGCTCTGGGTGCCCTGGGAATTTGGGGTCCCCAGGAAAACCTCGATTTGGGGTCCCCAGGGATGCTCTGTTTTGGGGTCCCCAGGGATGCTCAGTTTTGGGGCCCCCAGGGATTCCCTGATTCGGTGTCCCCAGGGATGCTCAGTTTTGGGGTTCCCAGGGATTCCCTGATTCGGGGTCCCCGGGATGTTCAGTTTTGGGGTCCCCAGGGATGCTCAGTTTTGGGGTCCCCAGGGATGCTCAGTTTTGGGGTCCCCTGCTTTGGGGTCCCCGGGGATGCCCCATTTTGGGACAGGGCCTGCAAAGGGGATCCCAAATCCTTTCCTTCCCCTTTTCACCCCCTGTTCCCTCTCGTCCTGCTTTATTTTTGGGTGGATTTTTCTCTATTTCGGGCCTTTCCAGCTGCTTCCTTTTATCCTTTTCATTCAGAGCCTGTCATTACATTTTCCATTCTTTCAAAGAAACAAAAAAAACCACCCCAAAGTGGCTTCCCAGGGGCCTTTCCAGCTCCTTATTCCCGGAGGGAAGGGGTAGAATATCCCAAAATATCCCAAAAAAAATCCCAAAAAAATCAAAATATAATCCCCAATCCTCCCCCTCCCGCTCCCCTGTGGGGTTTTTAGGAGTTTTTGAGGGAATATCCCAAAAAAAAAAAAAAAAACAAAACAACACCTCTCCGAGATCCCGACGTGCTGGCACGTCCTTTTCCCGTCTTTTTTTTATTTTTTGGGATCCGGCCATCCCAAATTACCGGGGCGGGCCGGGAGCTGCGGGCTCCGGGCTCCCGTTCCCTTCCCCGCTCTGCTCTTCCCGCTTGGAATAGCGAAAAGCAGCGGCGGAGTTTTTCTCATCCCGTTTTTCCTCCTCTCCCGGGATATTCCCAGCCCCTGCCGCTGCCTCCCGGACCCTCCGGGGTTAAATCCACCCCTGGGTCACCCCAAAATCCACGGCCGGGACCCCTCGGGGCATCCCCGCTCCG